GCTAAGGGAGGGGGTCCCAGGGCCACCAGGATAAGAGGACAAGTTCCCAAGCCCCCCCAGCTGTGGGTGGGGGTCCTGGTGGGTGCCCAGGTGGGGGGACAGGGCTCTCCAGGGGCACAGAGGCGTCGGGGAAGCCACCTGGGTGGCAAAGGAGGAGGAAGAGCTGGGAGGGAGGTGGGAGGGAGGGAAGGGGCAGGGTCCCAACCAGGGGTCCGGGATCATTCCCGGCGGGATGGGGCCAACCCCCTGGGCTGAGCAGTGGCCCCCCCGGCCCCGGGAGCCCCCGGTCCGGCCCCGCTCCTACCTGCAGGCGCCCGCCGCGTCCCGCCACCCTCCCGCCGGACCGGGGATTCCTGTTCTCCCCGGCTTTATCTACCTGCGCCTGCCCCCGCCCCTGCCTGACATCACCGCGCCCCGGGGCTGCCGCCCGGCCCCGGCCCCCAACGCACCCGGGGGGGGCTCCCACAGCTCTCCCGGACCTGCGGGAGGGATGCCCAGCCTGGCCCCACGCAGACTCCGGGGGGCTGGACCCTCCAAACCCACCCGCCACGACCCCCCAGGAGGAGGGGATGGGGAGTTTCCCACAATGCACTGGGGTGGCTCCTGGAGCAGCCAAAGCTGGGGGACAACACAGGGCCCTTGGGGGGATCACAGGGACCCCCGGGGTGTCCTGGGGGTGAGGGTCCCGTGGGTGCCAGCCCACCCTCATGGGGGTCTCCAGCCCCAGGGTGCTGGGGTTTGGGTCGGGACCCCCCTGTGTGGGAGGGACTCCGTGGGTGGGTGGGGGGAGTGTCCATGGGGGTCTCATGCAGGCAGCAGGAGGGATGTGGGGGCCCCTCATGGAAGGGGGGTTGTGGAGAGATTTGGGGGATCCCCAGGGGGATGCTGAGGGCCCTGTGGGGGTCCTGTAGGTCCATGGATGACTCCCCAGGGTCTGGTGGGGGCACAAGGCCCTACAGGACCCCCATGGCAGTATTGGGGAGGGTGGGGGTCTACAGAGCAGTGGGGACCCCCGTGGGACCAGAGAGCTCCTGGGAGGGTCATTTCATGCCCCTGTGTGGGTCCCCCGGGGGTCATTTTGGGTCCCTCTGAGGTGCGTTTGGGTGACACTGGGGTAACTCCAGGTCCCCCAGGAGAGGTCACTGGGGGTCGTTTTTGGCCCCTCTGGGGGTGGGTGTAGGTGACACTGGGAGGAGGTCACTGCGAGTCACTTCTAGTCCTCCTGGGGGGTCATTTGGGTCGCTTGGGGTCCCCTCGGGGGTCACCGGGGTCACGCCGGGTCCTCCGGAGGTCTCCCAGAGCAGACAAGACGGGGCGGGGCGGCGGCGCAGAGCGGCCGGAAGGCACCGCGTCACGTGACGGCAACCCGGAAGCGGCGGCGCGGCGGGAGCGGGGCCATGAGCGGCGGGGCCGGGAACGGGACCGGGAGCGGGGCCGAGGCCGGGGATGGCGCTGAACGGCGGGTCCGCATCGTCGTGGAGTACTGGTGAGAGCCGACACCGCCCGCGGCAGCGGGAACCGCGGGCACACAGGCGATCCCGCGGCTCCCGAGCGTGTGCGGGGCCCGGGCGGGGCGGTGGGGAGTGGGGGA